CTGCCACCAATCGCTTGCCCGGCAGGTGCTTAAAGAAAAGGCTTCATGCCCAGTGTAGAGAGGTGTATTAGACGCAAATGTTTAAACTAAAAACTACAAAAACAAGTGGGCATGAATTTTTTTAAAACAGGGACAACTAACACTCTTAGGTGCTCCATAAAAGTCATAGTTATTTTGTATCGTCCAATATACCCCAGTCTCCAGTTTGTGTGTGTTTGTGTTTCTGTGTATTTGCCATTATATAATGAAGTTTCAAGAGCTTCATTGGAATTCAGAGTGTCCTGCAGTGGCTTCCCTAGTATTGTGCGTCACCTGCAGCATCTCAGGCCCCATTAGACACTGCTCTAAATAGTCCGTGAGCTTTTTGGAATAGCCTTTCAGCAACTGTTATAGTAGGAAATGCTTCTTCCTGAGAAAGGGCCTGCTTCATGCTTCAGATTCTGGTCTTTATCAAACCATAACAGTCAAAGTGCTGGTTTGAGTCCATGAAGCCCTGCATGGCTTGAGACAGCAATGCTGGACAAAAGACCTGTCCCAGCCACAGTCTCCTTGGGCACCATGATCACGATCTGGGACCTGCCTCTGATTGCCGCCTCCGAAGGAGGTTCAGTTGGTGTCAGTGAGATGAAGGACCTCATACGCAGCATCCAGCTTACAATCTGCTTGTGTTTTCAGTTTGAGAATGGGGCAGTATATAAATATTGATAAAATATTGATATAAATACTGATATTTTTATAAATATAAATAAATAGGTAAATTGTATTACTCCTGCTACTGAACAGCTGAACAAACAAATTTTGCCCTTCAAAAGAAATAGGTTTCCTTGTGTCTGTGCTTTTTAAAAAACACGGTAAGCCCCTTGGGATAGGGATCTTGATCATGCAGGGATCCAGGTTACCTTATACATGGATGCTGCTGTATGGAATCACATCAAATAAGTTGCGAGAGACCACGCCTATGCTCTGCATGTGGCCAGTTTGGAATGTGGCCTCAAATAGACACCAGCTCTAAAAAAGCACCCCATGCCTTTATTTTTTTTTGTCTCAGTAGGTCACACGTTTGTGATCTGAATTACTTGAAATAAAAAACTAAAGCACACTTAATGTGATTTAAAAGTATATCATGTAGAAATTTTATTCACGTATTTCTAAAAATGTGACAAAAGAGCATGCTTCCCTTATTGCTTAAATGCAAGCAATAATGGTACTGAAAATTGTAGACTTACTAATTCAGTCTTCCCCAACCTATTATCCCCTAGATAGGTTGGGCTACAGGGCTCAGCATCCTTCAGTTGGCCTGGAAAGCACCAGGTTGGGAAATGCTGTTCCAATTAATTTTAGCAGTCCAAAGAATTGTGCAGAATACAGTGATAACTGCTTATCTGTTTCGTTAGAGTTCGGCTCTCTTCCATTCTGGTTGCTGGGGCACCTTCAGGTTTGCTGTCACTACCAATGGGTTCCATTTCATACTGAGATGTACATGTATTTCAGTGACCTATATGAATTCCCTTGCACACTTGCTGGCTTAGGACCACGATACCTGACAGAACACCTCTCCTGACCTCTATCTACCTGGACACTGTGATCACGTTTTGTGGCCTTTCTCCGATTGCCATCTCCGAGGGAGACTCGGGCGGTGGCAACAAGGACAAGAGCCTTTTCAGTGGTGTGACCCCCTTTAAGGATGGAGCTCTCCACTGAGGCCTGCCTGGTACCAGCTTTACTATCTTTGCAGCACCAGGTAAAGACCATCCTCTACTGCAGGGCATTTGATTAGTTACTGGGGCCTGCTGGGTATTAGGCAGGGTTTAGCTGGACCTCTTTAACATAGATATTTTCATTTTTTGTTTTTATTTGGCTTTAAATTTTGTATTATGCTGTCTTAGTGTGTTATAATTGATATATTTTATATTGTTTTTAAATATGGTGCTGTGAACCGCCCAGAGAGCTTTGACTGTTAGGCGGTATAGACATTAAATATAAATAAATGAATCATCACCTGCACAGTATTAATTACAGCTTTGAAACTGCCAAGCTTGTATTTGCAGTTGATACCCATCCATTGCCATGGATGCATTTGTGAAGCAGAACGTTTTCTGCAGCATATCCGTGGCTGTGCGAAGGCTGAGGGAAGGGAGCTGCACCGCGTGCAGTAGAAGCGATCTCTGTGCAGCTGCTTCTGCCACACCTGTAGCAACTCCTTTGGGAAACAAAGCACACCAAGAGCATGTGCAGAGACCAGGGTGTGCAAGGACCGTATGTCCCATGTCACTGTAAAAGGGGGCTCCTCACGGCTTGCCAGACAGCTCTTCGGTGGCCTGTGGAGAGCCTGCTTGTGGCGGGAGGCATGAGCGCGCTCTTGATGCACCTTGTTTCCCAGCAGAATCACTGTAATGCCAGCAGCGTGGCCCCTGGGGGGGGGGGGGCAGTGGAGTCCCCCAGTCCTCTGGAGTGGCTCACCTGCGGTATAGATGCAAGCACAGAGTTTGGGAGACAGGTGTGTTAAGGAGTATCTCCCATATTGCGTCATCCTGTGTGACTTCTGTGTCTCTGCTTCATTTCATAGTGAATTCATTTCATAGGTGAAGGCCACCCAGTGTCCACTCCAGGCTTCTCATAAGAAACTGGTTTGTCTGGTACTGCCAACCATCCCGCCTGTGTCATCTTTAATGGAGGCCATCTGTGCGGCATAAGCCACCCCTAGCTTCAGGCATGCCTCTCAGGTTTTGCAGAACGTCTTCCTTCATGTCTGTTGTTCATTTTATCATTGATTAAAATACACCATGTCAAAACCTAGATCTGTCCCCTTTCTCTTTTATTGTAGAGTTGTTTTTCTGAGATTTTATCCACTTTTATTCTGTGGGATCATATTCTTTAAGTGCCTTCCCTAATAATAAATAAAGGAAATGGACCCCAGGATACAAACTTTCCATCTGGAATTAATTACAGAGAATATTTAATTCTCTGTATTAGCTTAATCTTATCAGTTTAATCTTTCAAGATGCAGACTTTCTATGAATCCTGAAATGTTCTGGCAAGACTTGGAATGTGGATAGTGGTTACTCATGAGCTGGAATTACCATTTGCACCTTAAGGGACTCCTTTGTCCTTCTTTTTTCATAGTCCCTCTTGTGGGGCTGTGGGGTCCTCCTCATTTCAAAGTGGCTACATAGGACTGATGTCAGATTATACCTTATTGACTATAATCTGCTGGACTAACTAATGTTTAGGAAGGCCACCAGTTTCCGCCCTCACCCAACCGTGATGTCTCCCGTTGCCCCTAGATTACTTTCCTTTATCAAAGCTGGAGGAAACCACTCACTTCCAGGGTGCAGGGGTGGGGGCAAAACAGACAAAAGATGCTGTTGTTACATTTCATTCATTTTAAGTGTTTTTCCCCCTTTTGAAATAGATGATAGAATGCCCCAGAAACAGAGACACAAAGTTTTGCTAATGCCACCAGGAGCCTGTTAGGATCACATCTGTGTTTTTATAAGGCAGGCTATGACAAGACACTAAGAAGCACTAATATGTCTATCAGTTGTGTGTGTGTGAATATTGATTGCTGCTCAATCCATCAGAGTGTAGGGTCTTGCCTCTACCTGCCACCACTGCCTACCTCATGCACAGCTCTGTGGGACCAGTGCAACCGCTTCTTGTTTTGCATAGACTTTTCAGTTCTGGCTTCTTTCTCAAAAAACTCAAGCACCCTCCCTGGTCCTTGTTTCAGTGATGCAGATGACCAGCAGTCAAGAAAATTGTCTTCATATTCTTGTTTCATTGTATTTGGATGACTAATGGAGGAGGGAATGTAGAGCTAAGACATGGGCTGAAAACTGATGTGGTAGAAAACATTTTGCCAAACAAGTCCAGTTGGACCAGGTTAGAAGGCAAGCCACATGCAAGGGAGGAGGAAAAGCATTTGAAGAATGATCTAATCTGTGGGAAGACTGTGGGCCATACTCTTTTGACCACAGGTAGCAGGGGGCCAGTCGGGAAGGTGTTTCTAAACATAAAAGGCTGCTTAAGACACCGGCAATTAACATTTAAATGTTTGGACTGCTGACTTGATCAGATATTTTGATTGATTTTACTCTGGCTTTTAATTGGTGAAATTGGTGTATTACAAAAGCTATGTCTCTTTTGAGGAACGGAAGGGCTTTCAAATATAGGAACTTAAAATTTACAGATGGTCCAAAGTCCGCTTTCCTATGAAAGTCTGTTTTTCCATCAGTTTTATAATTCAGGTGACTGATTCTTCAGGTCACTGCCCTAGTAATTAACCCAAAATGTTTTGAAAAATCCAGATCAGACAACTGAAACCTGTGTTAGGGCTGGATATTCATCCCGTGTGCTCTTGCTTTAAGTAATGTTCACACTTCTGTTCAATCTCTTTAATGCACTTTCAGGCTTTGCTCAGCCAGTGTAAGGCAGGTCCAATCTATTTCAGCAGCATCTCATGCAAGGGTATTTATGCCTCTGAATTATCCTGGTAGTTTGCCACAGTTCTAGTCTGAAAGCATCCTACTTGTCCAAATGAGGCCTTGGTTTATTGCCTAGTAAAAACATATGTGCAGACATGCGTGGTTAAAAATGTGCTGTTCTGGAAGTGCCGTGCTCCCCAAGGGGCCTGCCGGATCGTGCCTTTTTTTGCCTGGCGCTGCCGTGCTTATCTTCCCAGCTGTAAATGTGGTTGGTGTGGAAGATGGCGAAAATGCTGGAGGCTCTAGTGGGTCGCGGTAACTTTCGGAAGCTGTTGCAACCCTTGAAACAATTAATTGCATGAGTCCCTGCATTGTTGTGGTGATGAGTACTGAAAAGTCCAGCCCCTTAGTTTGTGGGGGTGTTTTCTGCAGGAAAGGGTGGGTGCAGGGGGCATGCCCATTCCATATTTCCAAGAGTGAAGACGTTAACCCCATCCCAAATGTTGTGTTGGAAGGAAGGGGCTTGCCGGAGGCTGCGGTGCTCTGTATTGATTTGCTGTGTTCTTTGTGCTCCAGGTGCTGCTGCTTCTATAAGAGGAAACGGAAGAAGTCTTCCCAGCGCCAGAAATGACAGGTGTCTCCTTGAGGTCTTTGGGGGACTTTGTTTACCTGCTGTTCCTGCCACGTCTTATTGAATGGGGCTTCTCTTGGGGAGAGGACAAGAAACAAGGGACTCATTAAACCAAAAAGAGAGGAGGGAAGATCCCCAAATAAACATTCAGGTGGATTCCCTAAATGGTCTCCCTTGCTCACTCCATGCCTGAGGCTCCTTTTGGAATCAGGACTGGATCCTCTCAGGCATGGGGTTGCCCTCCTTGGAAGGCTGGCTGGCTGGCTACCTTCCACCCTCTCTGTGCAGCCGTTTGGCAAAGGGGAGTTCCTGGTGAACGTTCTTTGTTCCAGCAAGCCCCGTCCCTCTTTTGTTCTCCGTACGCTTCTTTCCTCCCCACTACCAGCAGAGAGGGACTGTATGGACTGTGGGGGATGAGGTGGCGGTGGAGAGAGGGTGCGAGCGGGAGAGTGCAGTCCCGCTCTCTCCCAGTGGCTGAGTTTCAGCTGCACGGACAGCTCAACCCGATCCTTCTCAATCGCACTCCTGATGAATTCCACGGTAGGAAGCCAACAGCGAGAGAATTGCAATCTACTCTTCCAGTTGCCTTGATTTACTGGTTTCTGTGACGTCTCCCCTCTCAGAATGGTTACACAGAAGTGTCGGTTGTTCTAGAGGAACTTACGTTGTTGCACTTTTATTTTTTTTAGCATTATGTATGCATCTGCTGTGTGTGTGTGTGTTCCTTGTGAGTACGAATGGTGCCAGCTCCTGTCTGAGAGCAAGGCCTCTTGACCTAGCCTCCCCACCCCATTTGGAACCTCCTGGGCTTCTTAGATCCACAGTTGGTTGTGCACTGAAGCTTACTTGAATTTTCAGCTGCCCTTTCTAGCTGTCAGTGAATACCCCTCTTGTGACTTTTCTCCATGGTGCCTGACCTAACCTGCTTGGAATTAGAAGTCTTTCTGCTGGCAGGAGGGAAAGAGATCAGCTGGCTGAACTCTGGGTAGGTCACGGATGCAATTACAGGTGACTGTAAATGAACAGTGAAAGAATTAGGCACTTTGTCCATTTAAAGGGAGCAGTGTGACTTGGGGAGGGGGGCGGAGGGGGAGCTCGCTGCCACTGCCCTGGACTTCATCTCGAATCAGACGTTGCAAAGGCTCTTTCAGGACATGAGCAAAGAGCATCTGGTTTCCAGCAGTGCAGCCTATGCATTGCCTGATGTTCTTTCACTTGTGCGGTCAGGGCATTTCAGCAACATGCTGCAAGGGGTGGACCATTGCTTTGTTTTTCAGAAGGGAATTGACCACTCTGTGTTCCCTCCGTCTTGTGCTCCAGAGCAGATGCTGCAAGTTTCCACAGTACATCTTTGGATATCACTTGAGAAATTCAAGGAGTTTGTTCCAAGAGACCCAGATCTCCACATGTTCAAAATAAACTGAAAGTGCTTCCCTTTCACAGCTTCTGGGTGTGCCTTCTGAGATTTTGTATTCCACTTTCACTAAAGGGCAGCACAGCCCTTGACTTGGATCAGCAGTGAGTCTGGAGCTTTGGGAAGGGAGGCGATTCCATGACTGGCCGTCTGACTTGTCGGGGGACGGGGAGAGTTCCTTGCCTGCAGAAAGACGACTCTGCCTGGGGAGAAGAAACAAGACTGAGTTGGTTCCTGCCTATCTCAAGCATTCTTTTCAGAGGCTGTAGGGCTGTTCTCGATCTAAAAATCTCACTTGCATGTAAAGGAAGCCACCGCCATGGCTTAACTCTGGGCTGCCTTTCTGTCCCCAGTCACTGAGCCAAAACGTAGGTTGGCTTTTTGCCCACGAGCCATCCTTTCCGTGAGTTTCCTGTTGCTCTTTCCCTTCATTTGGATGCATCTTAGAAGCATCATGTCTGCATTTTCCGTCTTTGATTTTTCTCCTTTTATGCTTCCTAATAACTGGCTCTTTGTTTAAACGTTTCTCGTACCACGTGCTACGTGACCCTTGCTTCCCAGGGGTGACTAGGCCTCGGTTCAGGGAAGAGGCGATGTGGGCATCTGTGAAGCAGGAGTCTGGCTCGTATCGTCTCCTGCGCTGCCGAGTGCAGCTGCACTTGCATTTTCCTTCTCCCAATCCCTTTAAGTACTTGGCAGTCCAATTTATGGGTGCAGCTCTTGCACTCTACAAAACGGCCCAGTTCTCTCGCACTGAGGAGCAATTTGGAGCTTGCCAAAGAAAAGGCTACAGCCTGAACGAGGCTGTCTTGGAAAGACAAGGGAGCTCCTCTCCCACCTTCAGATCCCTCCACGATCACCTTTATATAAAATTTTTTGAAAACGGTTTAGCTCTTTCCACATTTTCATTGCTCAAAAGATCTAGCTTCTTAGGAATGAAAAAGTAAATGTTTATATAAATTCTCCGTAGTATTTAGAGCCTAAATATTTGGTCAAAATGTAAAATATGAGTTAATATTTATTAGCCTGAATTGAGAACCTGTTTTCCTATATAAATGTTTATTTTTTCATTCATAAAAAGTAACTGAACACTAACTTGAATCCTCCTTCCTCCCTTTCTGAATCGTGTTGATCCTTTTGAGGAAACAATAAGCTATCTATTGGCTGCTTCTTCCCTTCTTCCCTTTTCTAAAGTTACTTGATTAAAGAGAAGACTATAGCCAATTTTCTACTCTGCAGGCTTCCTATTTCAAATCTGTGCCAATCTTAAGCAGGACAAAGCTGGCATTTTCATTGAATTTTTTTGAAACTGTTGGAAAATGGGACACAAGGTATAAGGAAGAATGGCCAAGATTAAGCAATTTGCTCCCCCACTTCCTCAGATATTAAGGGCCAAATTATTTGAGAGGATTGTCTTTTTTCAGGACTCCTGTTTGAGACCTCCACTAGCTGATTTCTAATATTCTTTGGTTTTGTGGGAACTTGCCACGCTCCTACTAAAAGATAAATATCTCTTAAGTAATGATCTGAAGCAGACTTCCCCAAATGGTGTCCTTCAGGTATCTGGGATTACAACTTCTGGCATTCCTGACCAATGGCCATATTGGCTGGGGTTGATAGGAGCTGAAGTCCAAAACCTCTGAAGGATACCATGTTGGGGAGGGCAGATTTAGAAGGTGGAGCTTCCAAGTACTTGTTCAAGATCTCCCCGCTCTTCTGCCCCACTGAAAGGCAGGCGTCTCTGCCTGGAGCAGGAGTTCCATGTGTTGACGTCTCCACATTCTTGAATGTTAAATGATCCATTTCATGAGCATGAGCATGACTTTGCTAGTAACCTTGCCTGCATTTTTGAGGTGCGAGAATCAAGTTGCTAATTTTTATTGTCTCCCAAAGTAGCTATTGCAGCCATATCAGGGAAATGTGCTTGCATCATTTTGAGAATCACTGCTGTCAGAATTGGAATATTCCTAACCCCGTGATTGTTTTAAAATCTTGCTCCCTTTCAATGTCCAGCCTTAGTCCTACTTCAAAACATAGACCATGAACTAGCTTGCAAAAGTATTGTTTGCCCCCAGAGACACTTGCTCTTCAAAGGGTCCTTCCCAGTGTCCCTGCAATCCAAACATGGCCTGAGCCTTTCCCCTTTCGTGGTTTACAGTAACTTCCAGTGGAGGACAAATGTACATTGCGCCTTGATGAATGGAATTCTTAACTGTGGTCTACAAGTCTCTTGAGCTTTTTGTGAGTGGTGTTTCATTGTGAAAGGCAAACAGATGCCATAGTGAGGATTCCCCTTATTTGTATGGAGTCCTGAGACTGTGTTGGATTGATGGAAGTGAACTGCCAAATGTACACATCCCTATAGATAGGAAGCCATAGTCCCTGTTTTCTCAAAATGCTACTGAATTTTCAAGAGGGAACAAATGACGCCTTTTCTGCGTTGCGAATCAGGCCTTTGGGAGCACCACCACTTCGCTTGTACAGCCATCTTTCCATTATCGGTTTTGGGCTGCAGTAACAGAGACCCAAGAGATCCCCCCCTTTTCTCTGTTTTGGTAGGCCCTGATGTTGGAACCACCTCTAGCAGTTGAAGGGTCTTTAAGATTGCTGGTGCAATTTGCTATGGCAGTTCTCCACGCTGTGTTTTGTGTTACGCATATCCCAGGAAGAGGATGGAATGGAAATGATTTCTCAAACTTCCTTTAGTATTTTTTACTGTAGATACAGCGCTGGTGCTGGTGGTGGGATTTAAGTTGTATTTGAATTATAGGAACCACTGTCCACTGTATGAATGCCTGAAGGGGGTAGTTGGGGGAATCTTCACTTCAGTATTTATATGCAGCAGGCCTTGGTTTTGAGGGCAAACAATAGACGCTTTTACCAAACTTCTTATTGTGAAGAAACCTCAGTCTCTGGCCAGGATGCCCCTCCTCCGCTTAACGGTGCTGTGACAACCTGCACTCGAGCATCTCACAGCAATGTCATTCCACAACGCTGTTGCACCTGTGGGGGTTGTGGTGTCTGGAAGGGACTGGGACGCACTCCCACTACCTGGTCCCTAGTGCCTGCTTCTCAATTTATCATGCCCTCCCAAAGAAGCGGCAGGCACATGCCAGTCAATTGCAAGCAGGAAAAAGGCTTTTAGATGGCCTATCTCATCCTTTTAAGACTGTCTCAGGAAAATGATCACTTTTTCTAAATAACTACTTTTCCAAACTGCGTAACTGCTGCATGGTATAGGGGCAATCCTGCAGAGCTTGGAACAAGTTCTCTTTTTGAGATGGAAAAGCAGCTTGGGAGTGACAGTATGTCTCTGCAGCAACCAAGCAGAGAGGAGAATTACCAGTTTGGGCCATGTGGACCATACCAAATATTGCAGCTTCCCCAAATGGGAATTGCAGTTAAGTGGCTTGTTCCCATTGGAAACCTCGTGGTGTATAATTTATGATGTGTGTTTCTTTAACGTAGGCCTTTGTGCTTTTAAAAATGGGATGATTGGGACAATGAGTGCAACTCTTGTTACTGTAAAGAAAAATCAGCTGTGAAAATCTTTTTTTAAAGTATTGTGTGCACATGTCTGATCCTTGTTGAGATGCCTTTTGATTTTTACTCATTTTATTTTGAACATGTAATGCAATGTTTTGCTCGTATAGGCCTGGCGCTGCTCTTGGGCGCAGCAGTGAACATGATATGTTGCATTTTTAACATGAATGTCCATTTCAAATGCATTTAAAATGGTTCAACCAGGATAAGGGCTTACATGCATCCCACGTGGGGGCTTCCTCCACTGGCCCTGGCTGGGTTTCCCTTGGCCAGGAATCGGGTCCTGCTACTGATCTTTCTGATGTGCCCTGTTTTAATGGGACATTGCAAGAAATGTCGTGTACCTTCGATTCTTCCTTTTCCCAATTTGCACCCTTTTAATGTAAAATAAAACATTCACTTGCTCTGTTCATAGCTGTCCTTTTTATTTTGCCTTAGTGTTAATCCTGCGCTCACCATCTTGAAAATGGACCGGGATAAACTGAGAGCACTACCCGCGTGGTGAGGTTGTGCACTCCTGATCGGTGGTTACAAAACATGTAAATGACACTCGTCTGCAAAGAACGTAGACAAGAAGCACAGACCCAGCCCGTGCGCATTCCACGCTTTTATCCTCGCACTTTGTTGCAGGAGGATAAGAGGATTGTTAACGTTTGCCAGCGATCAGCGTGTTTCTGAGTTGCTGCTGTTCTGTTTGGTCAGACGCTCGGTGATCTCTCCGTCGCGTGTCTCCTGAGCTCGCCTCATCAGGGTCACAGCCTGCATCTCACTTGTTCTGCATGACTTTCCCACCTCCATTACGTGGCCCTTCCTCCCACTCAGCCTGCATGTCCCCTAAAACCAGAGCCCCACCCTCAGCCGGATGCAGTGTGCATAACTGTGTCATCTCCCAAAATGTGTGCGGCCCACACAAGCCCCTCGCCGCTAGGGCAGGACTGAAGACAGTGCTCTGCTGATTGAGGGCTGGGCCTGGCCATTCTCCAGCTAGAAGAAATCTCACAGGAACAAACCATCCTTTCTTCATGTACACCAACAGATTAAATTCCTGGAACACAAATTGTATTTGAACATAGACAAGCCAAGCTCATCTGCACAATCTCAACTTGTGTTGGGGTGAATGGGACCTTTGGCTCTTGCATGGCTAGCTGGGAATTCTGGGAATCTTTATTCTGCCTAAACATGCCTAGAAAGTGCAGAGTCTGAAGAATAGCCGCATTGGTGTGATCGCCAAGGAGCCTTCCATTACCAGAACGACTAGCACATTCATCATGGCATAACTTCTTATGGGCGAAAAGCTCACTTTTCAGCGCATGAGATACTACATTCAATTTTCAGACCATGATTTGCAAAAGGTGTTTTCTCTTGTCTGAAATGCCATGGCCCTGGTAAGTAGTAGTGTCTGTTTGCATGTGAATGGCGAGACAGAAAGTCAGATTTGGTAGTTGCTGTCTTTTGAGTCCAGTTTAACTGATTCAGATAACTGCTTTTCAAAGAAAAGCTCACAAAACCAGTGATAGATCGTGGTTGCATTAGCCTATAATTCTATTGGTGTTTGAGGAGTCACACTCTGGTTCGTTCTAGCAGCAGTAAACCTACAGGTCTACTCAGTTGTAAGCTGCGCTAGGTTGGTGGGACTTACTCCAATTGAGGGTAAGTATGCACAGGATTGTAGTTGCATAAAACCAGCCCTCTGTAAAATAAAACAGCAAAAAAATGCACACTGGACCATGGATCTGCGCAGAGAAAGTGCACCTCTTTCCACTGCCCCGAACGTTTGTGTGTCAGGATCCCATATTTCTCAAGCATTCAGTCCAGCCTATGAAGAAAGAAGTGCCGCGTGGTTATACTGCCCCCTACAGGCGAAAGAACGCCGTGCGTGTCGCGCGCTGCTCTCTGGGTATCGTAGTCTTGCCGCAAGTGCCGCCCTCCTGCCTCTCCTTTGTTGCCACTTGGCCCAATCGGCGCGCCGTCGTCAACCCCGTGCCTGCTTCCCATTGGCTGAGCAGGCCGCTCAATACGAGACTGAAAACGTGGCATTCCTTTGTCGCAAGCTGCTCGCTTGCCGTTTTCGCGCTTGAGTCGCCCTCCCCTCTGGAGATGGAACGTGCCAATCCCACTCGCTGAGGAATTCGCTCCGCCCGGCTCGGGGCTGTACCATTGCTGGCAGGAAAGGGGAGGGAGGGGAAAAACGGAGCGGAAGGGGGCGGATGCTGGCGGCGCGGCGGGCACTGTGGCCGGGCTGGCGTTGTTGGAGCTGCGAGCGTAAGAAGATGAGGCTGCTGGCGGCTGCGGCCCTCCTGGGGCTCGGCGGGTCTCTCCTGCTGCTCCTCTTCCCGGCGACTCACGCAGAGGAGCGCAAAAAGGGGCCCAAGGTCACAGCCAAGGTGAGGCCTTGGGGCCCCTCCCCAGTTTCCCCGGGCGCCCCCGGCCCCGCCGCGCCCCCGGCGTGTGTGGCCTCCGCCGCTGCGCTGCCGTGGCGGCGCTCCTTCCCTCGGTCGCCTCAGGGAGCAGAGGCAGGGCTATCGGTGCGAGCCGGTGGGACTCGGAGGCCGCGCAGGCCGACGTCGCGCGCTCCGCGTTTCGGTGCTGGGGCTCCTGCGGGGAGCGCAGTTGCTTCGCAGCCGGTGCGCAACGCTTCGGGGCGGCTCGCCCGGCTGTGCGCGGTCGCCCGGCGAGAAATGGCCCCGCGCACCCCACGCGCCGCGCCCGCTCGAGAGGAGGGCTCCGGGCAGTTTCAGCAGCGCAAGCGGGTGTATGGCTGGAAGGGGGCCCGTCCGTGGCCTCCTGCTCGCGTTGGGGTGGACCACCATTCGCGTTGCTTCGTCGTCGGCTGCGGTGACTAAGGATGGTGAGAACTGCAGTCCAGGGTCATCTGGAGGGCCGCATGCGCGTGCCGCCAGAGCCCCTTCCTTTGCAACGTGGGCCTCGAGAACCTGCAGCAGAAATAAAGTTTAGGAAAACTCCCCGACTGGTACCTTAAAGAGCCGCGTATTCATTGCAGCATAAGCTTTTGAGGTTAGGTTTTGTTCATCTGAGTGACTGTTCTTAGGAAATAACCCATCGCGCTCTGTGGGATTAGCCTCTGGTACATGTGCTTGCAAGTTGGAGACTTAACTGTTGAGTAACAACTCCAGCAACTATCATAGCAGTAATAATGACAACTCCTCCGCCTTACACAACAAGGCATTTCCGACCAAAAACCAGGGTTGGCGATGTAAGAGGCACCATGAATTTGGGGGCAGCCCTGGTGCCTGTGCCGGATAGAACAGAGCCTGGAAGGCCCTCGAGCGCAGCCGCTGCGCTCCCACGAAGGCCGCCCGTCCGGCGAGAGGCCCCCGCCTCGCCAGCGTCGCAAAGGTGACTTGTGCGAGCTGTGCGTAGTTGTGCAGTATTGGGGGGGGGCAGGCACCCCTTTCCCGGAGGAGGCATCTGGCCATTTCCAGAAAAGCACAGAGCGGCTCTAGGTCGCTCGGTCATTCTCGCGGGGTAGCCGTGGCTACTTGGCCGGGGCAGGCTGAGAGACTCCTAGCATGGGTCCATATGCCGTAAGCCAGCCGGGAGACCTCCCGTGCCGCAAGGCTCGGCATCTTCGCTCCTGGAGATGCTGGGAGCTTCGAGGCACTTGCAGGATGCTCGGTCGGCGAATTGTGGGCTGCCAGGCGCCGCTGGAAACGGGGAGGCGGCCGGGCCGCGCCCACTGGCCTCGCCTGGGAAGCCGCAGCCCCCCGCCGTTCTTTGCAGGAAAGCCTCTGCAGGAATGCATGTCCTGCTGGTAAAGGCAGCCATATTCTGCATCGCTGCTTGCGAAGGGAACCCGGCACCCTGCTCTTTTCCTCTAGCACAGAGGAAGGGTAGGGTAAGGACCACAGGCCTTAGGTGCTTAGGCTGAATTTTTTCTTGCTTTTGCTGCTTCACTTTTTACCAGCCCTCCCGGGAAAGGTCCGTATTAGACACCATTTTCCTTTCCATTGCATGCAGAAGGTTCTATCTCCAGGATTTTTTTCAAAGGGATCAGGTAACAGGTGATGGGAAAAGATGCTTGCTTGGATCATAAAATCTGCACCAAGAACTCTTGTTATTGGGCAGACTAGAAGTAAAATTAATAAGTTCTGTAAATGCTGCTAGTTAAAGTACAGGATATTCTTCCAAGAACAAATTCTTACAAGAATTTTAGATTTGATTGTGCTGTGTTATCTGCTTTATGTTGTGTTTTACGCTTTCAATGGCATAAAAATCCTTTTTAAAAGTTAAAAGGCAGTGTACACATTATCTAAAGAAATACCACGTTTCTGGTGTGGATTATTGTGCTTTTTGTATTATGCATTTTGTTTTATCTTCATTTGTTCTCCCAAGTCAAAAGCGAATGCAAAGTCACCCCTGCCCTACCTGATATAAACAGTACATTCTCTCCCCCCTTCTTTCTTTATTTTTACCTTGTTAGACTGCTAACTGGTAAATCCATTTCCCATTGTAAGAAATATCTGTGACACTATTGCTAGTACAGAAGTCTGTGTAGAATGCAGTGAAATTAGTGGTTTAATTTGATGGCTGTTCCCCTGTTCTCGACTACTCATGTCTCAGGCTTGCTAAAATTGGTGTTAATTTATCCTGCTGAAATTGGTTGTATCCAGGCTGTTGGTGGCTCTGGGAGCAGACTAGGAATTGGCATCCCGTGTGGATAGTTCCTCTCACCAGCCTCTCTCTTGCATTCCAGGTGTATTTTGATCTGCGAATTGGGGATGAAGATGTAGGCCGAGTTGTCATTGGCCTTTTTGGAAAGACAGTTCCGAAAACAGTTGAGAATTTCATCGCTTTGTCCACAGGGGAGGTGAGCTGCAGGTGGCTTAGCACGCTGGGCGGTTTGGGCTGCTTGCAAGGCGAGGGCAGAGAAGTTGGCACCGAGGACGCGTGCAGCAGTGGGGGGCAGAGCAGGGAAGGGGGAGCAGGAATTTTCTGTGGGGGGGGGGAGTCCAGAAGGGGACACCTCTTCTGAGAGGGGCAAAGCAGTGATGTGAGGCAGAAAATTTTCCAGTACTTTATTTTTCTGTAGAAAATGCTCCATTTCATAAGTTTATTAGTAACAGCAAATGTCTGTTAATTGCAAATGCAACAGAAGGGCAAATGTGGCAGCTTCAAAATTTTGATGAATCTTTTCTGCATTCCAGGAACAAATCTATGTAAGGATAGAATATGAAAATCACATGAAAGGCCCAGAAAAGCATCCTAGCTCTGTTCACTAAATGCAGCTAAAACAAGTGTGCTAAACTAGACTGCTCTCTAGGGCAGGGGTGGGCATCTTTGGTCCTCCAGACCTTTTACCCTACAACTCCCATCATCCTTTAATGCTGGTTATGCTAGCCAGGGGTGATCGTAGTTAAAGACCAAAATGTCCAGAAGGCCCTGAGTTCCTCACTGTAGCACCTTGATATGGACTGAATTTTTTGATGCGAATTACCCTATATGAATGTAAATTACCCTAATTTGCATGGGGACACATGCTCCAAAAATGTGCAATCCAGAATTTCCCAGATGGCCCCGACACCAGTGGATGTCGGGTGCCCGGCCTCCCGGTGTGCCTCATCTCCTGTGGCCAAACTGCCAGCGTTACAGCAAGTGTGTTCCATCTGCTGGTGAGGGATTGCTGCCCTGTCTCTCTCTGCTGCGAGCAAAGAAAAGCCAGAAGTCCCTCCTTTGTTGAACTCTTTTCATCTCAGTGCTGCTTTTACTTTTGGAACCTCACTGGGAGTCAGGAGGGTGCTGGCTTGGGGAGCTGGTTCTAGACCCCACTGGGCCAGGCACTCACTCGATCTTGGCCTGACCCATCTTGCAGGGCTGCTGTTGTGAGGAGCCAGAGGTTCCATTTTATCCTCACAAGAGGGAAAAAGGCAAGCTATAAATGCAATGAAGTAGCGACAACTCTTGCTGGCTTGCGTGGGCTGCAGAAAGAATTGCGATGCGGGATGGCAAGCGGGGCTTTTGAGCAACGGGGACCACAGGCCAGTGGCTGGTCTGCTCCATTCAGGTCGGGTGCTGCCCTGCTTGGGCCTGAGGCACTAGGAGCTTCCTGGCCTGCAGGAGAGGGCTTGTCGGGGCCTCGTCTGCACGGCAGGAGCGGAGTCCAGCAATGCTGGATCTCTACCCGCTTTTCCCACCAAGTTCAACTGTGGAGGGGGAGCAGTTTGTGTATTCAGTAGCAGTGCATAAAGCCCACGTTCTTCCTGCTAGGAAGCAAAGGCTGCTTGCAGTCCTTCTTTCCCTTTTCTCCTTCATTTTGTACTCAGTGCATTGAAGCTGTGGGGCCCTGAATTGGTCTAAGAAGGACTCAGCCCCTAGATGGGTGGAGAACCTCCCCGTGTCCCAAACTCACTCTCTGCTTTCCATTTTCAGAAAGGGTTTGGCTACAAGGGTAGCAAGTTTCACCGTGTGATCAAGGACTTCATGATCCAGGGAGGAGACTTCACCCGGGGAGACGGGACAGGAGGTGAGACGCTAAATGGCAGCTGAATTTTTGTGGTCCGGCAAGGATCCTTTGTGTGGTGTTGATACCCTGCCGAGTTGGTTTTCTTTGCCTGCAGCCCCTTCATGGGGGAGTGGCGGGGTGGGCGGTGCTTGACACCCCCGGTCTATCAACCGCAGCCTTTGTTTGCTTAGAGATGTTCATAGCTACCGCCTTCAGCTCAAAGGCCGAATTCAGATTTGGAGAAGTTCTAACAGTTTGCGTTCCAGCACTGTCCAATGCAAAGAGGATGGTCCAAGACAAAAAAATAAAACCACTAAAAATACCAGGATGTTGTAGCTTAAAGCCGGTAGCGAAGCCTTGAGAGAGCCGTTCCTTCTCTCGGAAAGCCACCTCCTTCCACAAGCACCAGTCTCCTGAAGAAGAATCCAGAAGGTCCAAATTTGCTCCGAACTTCTCTGCAGCACTTTTAGCTGAGTCCATATGAAAACATTCCAGGCATCTTCCCCCATGGTGTGCCAGCTTTCTGTGAACCAACCTTTCCCAGTCTGGCTCCCTCAGTTTAGGAATACTGGGGTCACAGCCCAAAGCAGCTGAGGAAGATTGCTCTGAAATAAGCTCCTAGAGGTGGGATTTGTTCTTAGGTTGGATTAGGTATGCTATTTATTGATATGTTTTAATGCCACCTCTGTGTCTAAGACTCCAAGTAGTCTGCAGCAATTTGAAACATGCATACAGACATACAAAAACTAAGTGAAACGAACTTCAAAAGCTGGGGACTTCTAGGACCTTAGGAAAAGACCTCAGCCAGCCTTCCCCAACCTGTTGGCCCTCAGAGGCATTTGGACTGCAACTCCCAGAGTTCCCACCTAGCAGGACATGGACGGGGAATGCTGGCTGTTGCGGTCCAAGCGTGTCTGGCAGGCACGTGGCTGGGGAAGGCTGCTCTCGGGGGCCGCGAGGGCGGCCTGGGTCTTTGCGCTGCTCCGACGCTGCTTTCCCTCGGGCCAGGCAAGAGCATCTACGGGGACCGCTTCCCCGACGAGAACTTCAAGCTGAAGCACTACGGGCCCGGCTGGGTGAGCATGGCCAACGCGGGCAAGGACACCAACGGCTCCCAGTTCTTCATCACGACCACCAAGACGTCGTGGCTGGACGGCAAGCACGTCGTGTTCGGCAAAGTCCTGGAAGGGATGGTAAGGAGGGTCCTAAAACCAGGGCAATCCATTGCCCCCCCCGCCAGCGCCTCAGCGTGGCCTGGAGGGCAGCATGCTGGACTGGGGACTTGCTGGGCCGGGTGCCTACTCGGCCTACCACACAGGGTTGTTGTCACGAGGATCAGATGGAGGGGAGGGGAGGGGAGCCTGGTGGGCCACCTTGGAGGAGGCAAGCTGGCGTGTGGGTGTCACGTGATGACCATCACTGCAGGTGCTGTGCTGTCCATCTCGGGCCTGGCTGAGTTTTCATGCATTAAGTGTCAGCAGACTCAGTGGCTTCCAGGTGTGTCAGACTACCCATTCCATCAGCCCCAGCCAGCATGAAATGCTGGGAGTTCAAATCCAGTGTAGCACATCTGAGGGGCAGCAGGTTGGGGAAGACTCCATTGTAACTGTTTCTGTGCACTGGTCAAAGGCGCCAGAATAGTTCATGATGCACAGAACTGCTCTGCGCCCCCCCCCCCCGTGCATTAAACTTTGGAGGGTGCCTTCTCAAGGCCTTACTGCCATCAGTCATGATGAGGGTGAGAGGTGGGGCCTTGCTAGAGGTTCTGCCCCACCTCTGACCCCCCCTCCCCAAGATGAGGCCTTCGCTTAGCTGCAGCTTTCTCATTCCAGACCTTTCAGGTCTTTGCCTTGAACTTACATTTTCTTTGTATCGGGCCGCTGCTGTTCGGCATGTTATACATTGGCAACAGAAACATAGGGTCAAAGAAAGCTTGCTTGCTTGCTTGCCTGCCTGCCTGCCTGCCTGCCTTCCTGCTTGCATCCATCCATCCATCCATCCATCCATCCATCCATCCATAGTGCAGGGACCAACATGCCTGGAAGCTCTGGAGATGGGGCTGCATTTGCACACTCCAAGGATTTTCTAAAAACCTCTGCCACCTCCTCCTCCTCCTAGGATGTGGTGAGGAAGATAGAAAGCACTAAGACGGACAGTCGGGATAAACCCCTGAAAGATGTCACAATTGTTGACTGCAACACTATCGAGGTGGAGAAACCGTTCGCCATTGCCAAAGAGTAACTCGCGGCTGCTGGGGGGCCAGGATCGCGCTCTGGCTTGCAAAGGGCTGGGGCCCAACACTCCTGCTGAGGCCTCGTGTTGTCCTGCCTCGCTCCTCGGGCTGAGTGGCAGCGGCTGCAGTCTCCGCTGCCAGCGGAACAACCGATTCTATCTGCCACGGCCGGCACAGCCCTTCCGGAGCATTTGGCAGGTGTTGGGTTCCTCATTCCTTTTTGTAAGAGAGCACATGGACCAATAAAGGAGACCATTGTGTTTTTGTAGTACCGTCTGGCTCATTTTTGTCCTCCAGTCGGGCTGTCCTGACGCAGCTGCCGTAATCTGGGCAGTGAAGGACACCAGTTCATCGCCACCGCGTCACCTGTGGTGGACCGTTCAGGGAGCTGGACAGGCAAGCCCGAGCTCGTGGTGGACACAGTCCTGACGCGCCTGACAGTCACCTCCATCCCCCCAGCCTTTCTGGTTAATATGTGCCTGTTCTTCAGCTTAACTTCTCAGCCAGAAAGAGTCTTGAAGCAGTTTACGTGCAATTGGTAGAAGGCGGCAGTCTCTGCACATGGGGATATGACCCAAAGGGCACAACACGCAAGGAAAGCAGGTGGGGAGGGAAGAGGAGAAGGTCTCTTGGGGACAGCCAACAGAACAGCCCTGCTTCCTCCTCTCACCCTGCTCAAGTGGAGCCTGCGGGCAAAGGGGCCTTCGTGGAAGAGGCACGGAGTCCCCTGGCTGTGCTGCAGCCCACGGCAAAGCTTGCGGGGCCAAAAATGGGCACCTTTGTCACTGGAGGCTTTTCCTGACTGCAACTTAAACTTCAGGGGAGCCATTTCATCCTGTTAGAATGGAAGACAAACTGCACAAAGCCAAGGAAGTGACCGGTAGTTGAGGGCGAAAGGGCTCAGCTGCCCGCAAAACTCTGTCCTGAGCTGCCACACCTGGGAGGGCCCAGCATGCCCCCCCCCCCACTTCTTTGACCCGTCTGTATTCCTTCGACTCTGGCAGTGGCCACCTGTGCCCGTACTTTTAGCACAGCGCCCAGAGGAGGCCGGGCGAATGGGCGCCCTCTGCTTTCCTTCCAGGGAGCAAGAGCTGTCCGAAGACTGCCGCGATAACAGCTGCGATCACCCTGGGGACAGGGACATGCTCCCTCCAGGCACACAGGCCTGGAACTCCTAGCCTCTGGCCCCAGGGGGTTCCGAGGCATGGCAGGTCTTTCCGTGACCAGCCGCCTGCCTAGGAGCTGCCCCCCAGCCCTCAAAACTGGAGCACCTCTGTTCACCCAGCCCGTGTCTTCAGGCTCCTCCCTCTGTCGGCACAGACCTTCCCAGCTCCGCAGCGCAACAAGCTGGCACCAAGCCCTTTATTGCCAATCACGAGTGAAACCGCACACAGTCCGCAGTCGGACGTCCGGTTATGAGCCGCCAGCCGCAGCCTTTGCCAGTGCTGCGGATACCGCCGACAGGTGTCCTCAGGCGGGCTGGCCCTCCGGCCCCATCGCTGCTCAGCCAATGGCCTGGAAGGTGAGGTGCCCGCAAGCAGCTACCGTGCACAGGACGCCCCCTGCAGCATCCCCTCCCTGTGCTTTGCTCCACGTGTGCATTTGTGGTGGGGGATGCGGACAGCCTGCTCCTCCTGCAGGAGGCTGCCTCCTTCCCCTTCACCCCTTTTATTTCGGGGTACAGTGCAGAGCTGCTCCGCAGTGGCGCAGCGATGCTCTAGACAGGTGGCAAAGGAGCAGCGGACAAGGCGGGGTGGGGCAGAGTCTGTCGCGGCCTCCGGGGGGGTCCCAGCAAGAGCTCTGAATCCTGGCAGAAGACGGTCTCAGGTGCGTAGAGGCCCTGCAAGACCCCACTCAGGATCGTGTCAGGAAGCCGGCCTGCTGGGGGGAGAAACGAGATTAGGAGCAGCCTCCTGGGGGCAGACCCCCACAGAGCCCTGCCCCCTGCAGCCCAGGAGGAAGAGCAACCTGCCCGGCCCACTGGGTTGTGCAGCCGCTGTGGAAGCGCAGGACGAGACAGTCCTTGCAGTCACACACGACCTGGCACAAGGCTTCAGTGTCTGTTCTCAACGCTCGCTCGCTCGTGCTGCTGGAGCTCATGCTGCGATAGCAGGATGCAGGTTTTAATCGTGCAAAAAGTTGTTTTATTTCAAAAGGGACTATTTCCTCCCCTACTGCTGCTGCCAGAGGGGCAGCGGGCCACGCTCTCTGACGAACCGTGTTCTCCATGAGTACCTTGAACGAGAAGCGAACTGCTCCACAATAAATCGGAAGGTAGGCAACTTGGGGCCTTCCAGACATCTTGGGCTACAGTTCCCATCATCCTCACTATTAGCTCTGCTGACCAGGGCTGTGGATGAGGAGTTTGAGGGCCATCCATTGCCCACCCCTGCTCTGAGGGTTTCACAAAATACTTTTCAAAAGAACGAAGAAACTGCCTTTAGATTCCCCTTGCCTCCAGCTCACAGAGGCACGGAAATGGATGCGTCTTGCTCCTTTCCACCCTATCCCAAACTCCCGCAGCCCAGAGCACTGATCTACCAGGAAGTTCTGTTCCAGAAAGTCGCTTACCTGTGGAGGGTGGGAGTGTGTACAGATCGCTCCGGAAGCTTATCACGGGCCGGTGAGAGAGCAGACCACCAAGGCTGGAAAGAGAGAAGCAGACCTAGCAAAGGGCCCTCCTCAGAGGGCCCCCCCCCCCATGCAGAGTACACGGCCACAGAAGCACAGCACTGGGACAACGGAGCCACTTGCCTGGGATCCTGCGTGGAAAGGTTGCCCCCGGTCCTGAAAGAAGAAGGCGGGGTGAGCCAGAGGGGCCTTGCCAAGACATGCCGCAGGCAGCGTTCACGGGGGCAGCCGGTCTGCACAGCGTGAGCCTCCCGAGAGCTGCGGCTCTGAACATCTCGGTGCAGCCTCCCCCATCCAGCTCCTTCCGAGCGCAACTCTCAGGATCACCCGCCTGCTGGCCGAGGATGATGGAGGCTGTAGTCCAGCACACCTTGAGGGCATTAGGTTGGACGTGTCTGCTCCAAGAGAACCGAGGCCTTTGGGAGGAGTGCAGGGCATTGTGGGAGAGCCCAGGGAGCTGGCCAGCAGGCATGCCTGGATATTCGTCGGCCCCAGCTGCCCGGGACGGGGACGCCTGCAGTGCAGCTGAAGGGCCGCCCCTGCAAGTGGACACTGCCTCCAGGAGGTGGCCCTGCGTCTCCCCACAGTGCCTGCCTGTCCCTGCCCTCTGGACCAGAAAAGGGCCTGGACAACCCTCCTCTGCCAGAGCGTGTGCAAGCACTTTCTCTCTCTCTCTCTCTC